TATTCATTTTTCTTTTCTGGCCGTCTAGTCCAATTTCTTCCATATCTTTTTCTACCTCCTGATTCCATCTATTTTTTGGCCTTCCTTTTCTCTTTTTTGAAGTTATATTGTAGTTTAGTACCCTTTTTGGAGTCCTCGTGTTTGGCATCCTTTCTAGGTGACCTCGCCATCTTAGTCTCTGTGCCTTTATGACTCCTATTATGTTAGGTTGATTATATAATTTCTTTAATTCATCATTTGATCTTCTTATCCATAAACCGTCCCTTATTATTCCTCCATATATCTTCCTCAAGATTTTCCTTTCCCATATCTCCAGTAGATTTTGTTCATTTTTTGTCATTGTCCACGTCTCACTGCAGTATGTTGCTATTGGTTGTATAGTTGTTTTGTATAACTGTATTTTTGCCTTTCTTGATAAAAACTTGCTTTTCAACATTCCACTAAGAGCATGTACACTTCTATTGCCTGCCATTATTCTAGCTTGTATTTCTTCTTTAATGTTAGGTTTACGTGATATTATTGTACCTAGGTATGTAAATCTTTCCACCATTTCGAATTCGTATGATGATCTTTCTTCTACTTCTACTTTAAACTTTTGTCCATCCCTAAACTGATCATCTGTCCACTGCATACATTTTGTTTTAGTTTCATTTATGTAAAGTCCCATTTTCTTTGCTGCTTTTACTATTCTCTGTACTATCTCCTGTAGCTCTTTTTTTCCTCTTGCCAGCAACACTATATCATCCGCAAATGCCAAAACTTGGTGTCTTTTATGATATAGGAGTCCTTCTCTATTAATTCTCGCTTCTCGCATTATTTTTTCTAGGCATAAATTGAAGAGTAATGATGACAAAGGATCGCCCTGCCTTAATCCTTCTTTTACTATAAATTTGTCCGATGCATGATTGTTAACTTTGACTCTGTTTTCTGTATTCTCTAAAGTAAGATGTATCATGTTACGCAACTTTCTGCTAACTCCCAGTTCCTCAAGGGTCTCTTTTAATTCCTTCCTTTTTATTCTGTCGTATGCTTGCTGGAAGTCGATGAATAGCGCTATCGTTGGTAAGTTGTGTTCATAGCTTTCTGCTTTTAACTCTCTTATTATGAATACTTGGTCCGTTGTGCTTCTCCCTCGTCTAAATCCACACTGGTATTCGCCTATTATATTTTCAGCTTCTTTTTCCAGCTTATCTTTTATCGATTTTGATAGGATTTTATATATGGTATTTAGTAACGCTACTCCTCTGTAATTACTGCATTCTGTTTTGTCTCCTTTTTTGTGTACTGGACAAATAATGGCCCACATTTCCCATAGTAAGGTATATATTTTTTTAAACTATCGGAAAGTAGATATTTCAACGAACAAAAAGCCCACCGACTTTTTTAAAAAAAACTGATATTTTGACGCGTGAATTTTCGATTGAAAATTAGGGTGCTTTTTCGATAATAAATCAATATCAGGTAAAAAAATTAATTTTTCAATTCTAAAAAATTACAGTGTATTTGATACATACTAAGGCAAGTTTTCACCAAACTTCGTAAAAAATTTTTTTTTAAGATAAAAATAAAAAATCAAAAACTTAGTTTTTTGAATTTTCCACAAAAATTTTGAGGTTATGTGAAAAAAGTGTAAATACCCACTCTCTCACTCCCCGACCTCTGATGGAGTGTAATTTATTTTTTCGTCCAATTTTAGCACATTTTCTTCTTTTTCCAATAGGTTTCATTCTATTATAACTTTTTTTCTGTTTCAAAAATTATCGATCCTGGTCTATATGTTATAGACTTTTTTTAAAAACAAGCTTACCAAACGTATGCCTTTTAACGCTCTAAATACAAGCTGTGTACATTTTTTTTTAGCTGTTTTGATAAGTTTTAGATAGGTTGATAGATTTTAAAGACGTTGGTAGTAAATTTCTTGATGTACAGTAGTGAACGCATATTCTTGGCTGATATGCGTATATCTTTGGAGGTCCAGGGTTTGTGATGTTTTGACTTAATTGTAATTAAAGGAAGTGCCTTATTAAAAATATAGGCAAGCTCATATCTAAAAAATCATTGAAATTGTAGTCCACGTCAAGTTCTGAGCGGAAAAAATCGTACCTAAACGTCGGGTTTTCGAAGAGGTTTGTTGAGATTGTTAAACTTAATATATACTGTTTCATGATCAGATAATCCTGCAATAATCATGTGAGACAATATAATCAATTATGGTAGATGTTGTTTTAGTAATTCTTATAGGAGAATTAAGCGCTTTGTGAAACCATACCATTTGAATATATTGACCAAGGATAGTTTGGTAGCACAAGCAATAGCGTAATTAATATTTAAGTGACCGCATATAATTTCTCCGCGTTTATTGAACAGGTAATCTAACAAAAACATAGTTCCGTGGAAGAATCAGGTGACCTATAAATTCAAAGAATGTATTGATTAAGATTCTTGTTATAAACTAATGAAAACTTAAAAAAGACTCATTCAACAGAAAGTCATATTTTGTTACCATTATAATTAAATTTACCATTACAAATAAATCATTATTTGTAGAAAGAATGAGGGTGTCACCATGAGCTGAACTTGGATCATCATACCTAGCAAATGTGATATATTTTTCTACAAAAAAGGCTCGTTGACTTTAAGCCAGTGCTCTGTAGCCGCAACTATCACTATAACAAAAATAATGCATCTGTTTTATATCTTATAGAACGAATATTAGTCAGAACTGTGCTAAAGCTGTCATCACTAAAATAAATAAATAATAATAATAATTTGAGAGCAAAGCTAAGTCAAAGTATTATTACTGAAGTTATCACATGCAAAAATCAGAATGCTTCCTCTCAAATCCAAATGTAGTCACTTGTTCACAGACCTAGTCTGGTCTAGAAAGGTTGTGATGACCTAGTGCCACGTTTATATTCCTAATCCGATATTCGATAGACTTCTATGAAGTATCTTCAGAAAGGGTATTCCACTTTATTACAGTTAATGAATTATCTCTTATTCTCGTTTTTATCGAATTTTGGCCATACAATTTTTTCTAATTTGTGTCTTCCTCAATGGAGTATTTGATTCCAATGCTCTCCGTTTTTTATATTTTTCTCAAAAGCATTATTTGCATCGAGTTTCCTCTCTAGTCTCCATTGTGTCCTTTGTAATCAAGAGTTTGTATACATATTCTGCTTCGTGAAATGACCGAGATCTGTTTTGTTTTTTCACTTTTTTGTGATTTTGGTAAGCCCCTGCTTTTTACTCGACGTCGTAGTTCTAATTTGTTTAAGACATTACTGTTACTAATTTTATGAAAGAAGTCATACTAATATACCGACAGATCTATTTTGTCCCATTTTTCTTGCCATGTCTCATGTTTTACAGTAATTGGAACCGGTGATATACTGGGTGTAAAAATATAGTTGTTTTTTTCACTTTATTTTGTAACACCCTGTGGAATTTATGAGAAACAAACGCTAAATCTTATTAATGTTGCGAGATAGCTTTATTTTTTATCAACATTTTTGTAAAAAATCATCTTTATATCTTGATTATTAAAAAAGAAAAGTATATACAAAGCAAAACGTGATTATTGAATTATAATACTCATTAATGGAATATAAGCAGGTAGTTGGCTATGAAAAATCAAAAAAAATGAAAGAATAGCTTTTTATACTGACAATTCTGTTTAATTGAATAAATTGTTTTGCTGCTGTTGACATGGAGCGCATTTCAAGAAATCTGAGCCGTAATGAATGTCTGCAGGAAATTACTTTAGCTGATAGATCTGGTGGTCTGATAAGTAACCTCCTTCGCCTGTTAGAGCTCTGCCATCTCAAAGAAAATATTAATTCTAGAAAGTCTAACCTTTTTTAAGAATATATGTCAAATTTTAACGCGATGCAACCACCAGTATATTTTTGACAGCTGCATAAAATTGACGTGTTTTAAATGTTAATAAAGTTTAATTAGTAGTGTTTTAATTTGCTTTTATTGTCCATAAAAAAATGTACATTTAAAGTTGTGTATAATCTTTGATAGTAGAGATATCGAGATAATGTTTTTATGAAAATGTTGAGAAAAGATGAAGCCATCTCGCAATATTGGTAAGATTTAGCGATTTTTTTTTAAATCCAATTTGCGATTAAATGGCAATAGCGATTTAATAAATTTCACAGGCTATTGTAAAATAAGATGTGGTTAAAATATTGACATTTCTCAGAAAATATTGGTACATTTATTCCTTAGAAATATGTATAATACCCATAATGTAAAAAAAAACATCGAATTCCTATCAAAGGTTCAAAAGAAAAATAGCTTTAAACTTACGGTACATTTAAGGTGGTCATTAATATCGGAGAGTAGTGTATTTTGTTCATATCCATTAACCTATTTTTTGGAATTAAAATAGAAGTCTTAGTGCTCTAGAGATTTTAGTTATATCTGTCATTAATAACTTTGGGTTTTTTAAATTAATAATTTTTATACTTTTCCTACCTATGTGTCGAAAATTTCGTTTGTTGCCATTTTTTAGATAAGCTTTTATTGCTTATTTTTAAATTATTATTCGTTAAAGACCAGTGTTACTTTATTGGTTTTGGTGTGTTTTAATATTTTTTTTTGCTGTTATATTTAAGTATTTCACTGTTTTTTATACACGTGTGATATACTTATCAGTGGCTCAATGATATGCTATTTTTTTTTAGTTTGACAGTTTTTATAGTAGTAGATTACAAGTCTTTGTACAGGACTGTTCAAAGCAGAAAAAATTATGAATATTGATAACGTCTTAATTTTAAAATTGAAATTGAAAATATTGAAATGCATGTAACAGTGACCAATTAGACGAGATTTCAATATTTCTGTTAGTTTATTATTTGCAATTGTGCCGATTTGTTTTAAGTTTAACTACGCGTATAATCGATTTTTTAAAAAGTAGTCAATTTAATTCTTTATTTTCTATATCTGTAGTCTATCTTGTATTTTGGTTTAACCAGTGTTTACTGTTTCAGTTCTCTAAAGACCTCTACGTACATGAGTAAACAATCCTATTCTTCCGGCATATTCAGCAGTATAAGTAGCTCGAAGGATACGACTGATAGTTGTTTAGAAAATGGTCATCACAGTATCCAAAATAAGTGTGTTAGTTTTGAAACTACCAGTGTTACAGCGACAAATGGACAAAGAAAATGTGTATCAGAAACAGCAATGAAACAGGAATATACGAATGGTACAGAAACGAAATCATTCATTCAACAGAGAGTGGAACGGCTTTATGGACCCGGAGCTTTGGCACAGGGATTTTTTATTACCAAGCCACAAAAATCTCGAATGTTTGAAACAGAAACTAGGGGCTCTACAGGTAAACATTTTTGATATAAAGCTTGAATTATGAATTATTATCATTATCATCAATCTCGGCGTATTCTACCGATTATGGTGCATTATGGTACCTTTCTTATCTCTTTATACCTCTGATAGGTCTCTGATACCTTATACCCTGATACAGGGAAGATGAAAAAAAGATACATAAAATAACCAACAATAATGCACAAACTACATTGTCATAAAACTACTTAGTCACACCATGAACATATCTTCTTCTTTAAGTGCCATCGCCGCGACGAAGTTTGGCAATAATCATGGCTATTCTGATCTTCGAGGCAGCTGCTCTGAACAATTGCCTTGAGCTGCAACCAAACCACTCTCTCAGGTTCTTCAACCAGGAACCGCGTCTTCTTCCTACGCTTCTCCTACCCTCTATTTTTCCTTGAATTATGAATCATCTCAAGATGTTGTATCTTTGATGAGATGAGATATTGCAATTTCCTTTCATTTATAGTACTTTCCATTTCCCTCTCTCTGCCTATTCTTAACACTTCTGTATTCGTGACTCTATCTACCCATGGAATCATTAAGAATCTTAAATTTCCACATTTCAAACGCGCGTATGAACCTATGGGAGAGATTATTTGATAGAGTGATACATAAAGAATGTGTGAAGAAGTATTATGTGAAGGTTGTGAGAGACATGTGTAAGGGAGTTACAACTGTTTTAATATAGTTCTAGGACGTTCTAAGTACACCAACCCTGCAGATAACCATTATTTATGTCTACAGTTTTCAACCCATGAAGGTTTGCAAGAGAACATGTTCATTTGGATATCGACGACTGGGCTAATATTCTTTTTACGGAAGAGTCCAGATTTGTTACTGTTTAGATCCAATAGACATATTCTAGTTTATAGAAGCGCATATGAGATATTGGCTCAGTGTAACAAGTGTATTATAAGAGATGCCAGAAAATTGAAGGCAGCCCGATTATAATATGGGGAAGCATCTGCTTTGAAGTTTGCTCGAGAGCTAACAGTGTTGTATCCTGGATCTTTACATTCAATAGGTTGGTTGGTTAAGTTTTTGATTTTCCAGCAGTTAGTCCTCACCTAGACCCAATTGAACATGTTTTACACTACCTATAAAAAGGCATATAAGGACCTTGGTATTGCCTCGGATATCCTTGATGAGTTGGAAAATGCAATAAAGTTAAAATGTGAAAATTTCGACGTTGGGTATATAAGATTCTCTCTCTCTCACTCACACTATCTTTCTCTCTCTCACTCTCTCGCTCTCTATGTGTATGTGTCTTTCTACCTCTCTCCAGTGCTTTTACTCGGAATTTTTTTATTATCATTTCATTACTGTTATCGTTATTTTTCTTTTACATGTGAACATTCAATTTTTTATTTCTAAATCAATCTCAATTAAATATTTTTGAGTTTTAAAATCCACGTATGCAACACTTTTGGTAACGAGTATATTTTAAAGCAAAATTTCATCCCTCTAATTAATCAGCATACTAATCTAAATTAACTGTTGTGTGGCAATACAATTAAATCTTTTGTGAGGAGAAATTGATCTGCGATAGTTATTTTCGATTTCATTTTTGGATTACATCAATTAGGACATTTTTTAGGCGTAAAAAAATAATTAATTAAAGTGTAGGTCTCTAGTACTTTCTTTCTAGTATTTAGTAAGATGTTGTTCTGAAGCTATTTTCTTGTGGCATTGTAAATTAATTACTATTTATAACTGGGAATAAGCCACAATTAAAGATAAAAAATACGTTTATTGACGTTTATTTAATTTACTGTTTGTATTTTGAGAACGATTTCCGAATTGGAAATTGAAACGTCAATAAACGTATTTTTTATCTTTAATTGTGGCTTATTCCCAGTTATAAATAGTAATTAATTTAGTAAGATGGTTTACAATGTCAATTTTGTTCTCTATTTGTTGTTGAAAATTGACACAACTTAATGATTTTTAATTTAAAATATATTAATTAAGTAATGTCTAAAATTTGTAATTATTTTTGTTTGTTTTTGTAGGAAGTGAAAGGCATTCAAAATCAATGAATGATAAATTACTAGAGGACGATCTAGAACCGGGAATGAAACAAAGCACTAGCAGTCCTACTCTTCCAGTTTTGAGGCATTTACGGCCCGAATTCAGGGCTCAATTACCGGTGATAAGTCCTCGGAGAGGACATTTGGAAGTTACTACTACTACCATCCAAAAAAGTATCACTATACCAAAACTAAAAGATGAAATCAAAACTAATGGCCACTCTAAAGTCAATGAAGAAGATACGATCTGTGAAGTTAAGGAAGAGTCCGGAAATGTAGGAGCTAATAATATTAAGAATGGATCAGGTATTTTTTTAATTCTACGTTTTTAAAGTAAGATTTCAGCAAGGATGAATAGTAAAATTAAAATTTGTACGAAAATTTACGGCAAAATGAAAGTGGTAATATTTGAAGATTTAAATCTCTAGTATTGCAAGAGGTAGATAACTACTAGTAGAAAAGCACTTACGCGGTTTAAGGGTATTTTTCAATTTTCTTATTAATAATTGCCCAATGGTCTAAAATAAGGTGGTGTTCTGCCAAACAAATTTCCTTCAGAAAGTCATCAAAAGTTACAACAAAACATTTTTTAATATTTATATATAATTGAATTTACTCTTCCAGTTGTAGGTTCAGTTTATCTTTTACAGTGAATATTCACCTAATATTTATTACAACTTTTTTGATGCTATATTAGACTTCCTCATATATAGGAGTTTTGTCAAAGGTTCTTATAAATAGCTCCACAATTTATAGGGTGCAGCTTTAGCTCGAGGAAATCCAATTTCCGAGAAAAGATATTAATAGTTAATTATTAAATAAATTTGGTTAACACATTATATAAACAAATAATAAATATATTAGGTATTACACTTACTTACCTACGAAACTTAATCCGCCTGATCTTTCTACTGGTCAAAGGTATAATAATGAATTAATATACTAAGCAAATATTTAGAGTTAGTATTTTATCAGGGAACTTGTTAGGAGCCGACAAATAAAATACATACATAAAACAATAACAATATATTCAACAACAAAATTATGACGCTGCTGAATGCAACACAAGTAATAAAAGTACACCAACAACTATAAAATGGTGGTATACATATAAAAATAAGAAGTAATATAATTAGAAAATACCTTTACAAAGATATATCATACAATCATACACAAATAAAGTGTTATGAGCTCGAGATATTACAGTAAAAAAAAATGAACAAAAGTTATAACAAACACAAAAGATAACAAAAATTAATCAATTCTAAATTTACAAAAATACAAAAAGGTTACCTAAATGAAGACATAAGAATTTACCCAAACCGCACTTGATTAAGTCGATTAGCTATCTCGCACTATTATTTAACGAGAAACTGAGACTTAAATGTTCATAATTATTACTTATTGAAATTTCTTAAATCTATTGAAATGTTCTTTAAATTGAATGCAAAAATCAGCAATCGACAGGTGAAGACATGGAGGAACTTTAGATACGTCCAGATAATGGCAGATGATATGATACCATACCATATTACTCGCCCATATAATTTGAAGATAATGATTACGGTAACTAACAGTAATTCCTGATGACTGCTGCCTAATTCACTGAAGCTAATACTATACTTGTATTAAACACTGAATTTAATTAACATTAAAGGTACTTTAGAACTATATATAATCTAATATAGTATCAGATCAAAAAGACTCAAATAAACAAGTGTATACACACTTAGAAAATAATTCACAGACGATAAGATAACAAATACGTAAAAGTGAGCAAAGCGTCTCACGACAAATTAACCATTACTCCACAACGGCCCACCGAGAAGTAAGTCTGTCATTGCTAAAATTTACCAAACTCACAAAAAAAAGAAGAAGGGAATCTCCCACTCAAAAATCATAGGCCAGTTGTATGTAGTTCTGAGAAGGTAAAAATATTCTAATGGACATCGAAAAGTTTGAGGTATTTACGGTAGGTACTAGTAATTGGACGTGAGAAACATACAATCCTGTGGATTATGTTATTGTCAAAAGATTACTATACGTGCCTTCGACGAAAATTACGAATTTATGAAAAAGAACCCGGAAAAGGATTAACTAAGAATTAGTCAAACCAGCGTCTTTAAATAAATGGTAGGTTGCTTCTTCCGTCATCTTTCGATAGTTTCCTGATAAAAATCCCTAATCGTGCACACGATCATCGGCGTATTATCACCATGGGTAAAGGGAATTAAAAATAATCTAATATATTAATTAAAAAAAATGTTACAATGGAAAACTCAAAGAAACAACGAGAATCTTTAATAAACGGAACTAACGTCGAACAAGTGGACAAATATGCATATCTGGGAACAATGATTAACTCCACAAATGATTACATTCAGGAAATCAAAATCAGAATAGAAAAGGCTAGAGCAAATTTCAACAAAATGAGAAGAGTGCTGTGTACCAGGGATTTATGACTGAAACTAAGAGTTAGGTTGACGAGGTGCTATGTTTTTTCTACTTTATTGTATGTAATGGAATCTTGGACCTTGAATGCAACATCAATAAAAAAAACTGGAATCATTCGAGCTGTGGGTGTATAGAAGAATTCTGAAACTATCGTGGACAGAACACTTCACAAACAAAGAGGTTTTGAGAAGGATGAATAAAGAAATGGAAATTTTAAATACAATTAAAACAAGAAAATTAGAATATTTCGGACATATTACACGTGGAAAAAAATACACCTTGCTCCAACTGATTATGCAGGGAAAGATCCAAGGAAAGAGAAGCATAGGGAGGCGTAGAATGTCCTGGCTGCGCAACTTGAAGGAGTGCTACGGATGTACATCAAATGAACTTTTCAGAGCAGCCATGATGATTGCCGACCTCCGCCGCGGAGATGGCACTTGAAGAAGAAGATTGATGGAGACGGAGACGATTTTCATTTATTATAAATTGATTGATTTTCTTGCTATTTTTGTTAAGTAAATATATTGTTTTACATTTAATTTTATTTATATGTTAAACGTGACTTCACTTTATGTTGATTTGTTAATGGGCATAAAATTTAGATTTTGTATAATGATTGTGATGCGAATACCTATTATTTTGAGTCTTTTTTCGAAGAGGATATCTTCATAAGACCGTGAAAGTAGACCTCACCATCCCAAGAACCTGGGGTATTGCCCTCTCCCCTGGTGTGTGTGGCTTTTATTCCGCTCACCCGATCCAGACGCCCGTGAAAACGAGCAAATCGATCGTGAGCTCGCAACTGCCTACCTATTAAAACCCCCTCATTTCCAGCCGTATGTGTTCTTAGCCAACGTTATTCCTGCTGCCCGGCTTCTACTCCCTCACTACTCCATGTTGGAAGGACCGACAATCAGAAGGAGTAATACTTTTTTGATTTGGTTTGGTCTATAAAATAAGGAAGACAATTGTCATTGCCCATCTTGTCTCGCTCTCACTTGTGTTTCCTTTTTTTATTATTTCTGTTATTAGGTCTACTGTCACATTGAAGTTATCTGTATTTTGCATGGCTACATTCATTATATTCTCTGGTGTTGTCTCTTCTAGCCTTGTTCTCATATGTTGTTGTTTGCCGTGGAAAATGTTGAAATGGAATACGCAATGCACTACATTGTCGCGCACCTCTCATGTTATATACATAAATCATCTTCAGTTTTCCTTATACGATGTGTATTAGACCTAAATAGCTGCGTCCGGTCAAGAATTATGTAAAAAAGTAATTTGTTCTTTTAAACGTAATTTGTGTCGATTGTGCCTTTTCTCTTTGTGCCTCCCATTCTTGTTGCCATTCGTTTAGTATTTATTTTCTTGCCTCGTCTTTCACTCGTGTTAGGTGGTCTTTATCATTGTCTATAAGATCTTACGTTATTTATCTAGGAGGTGAATGGGGAGCGTAATGTAGTTCGGTACGCACTTATTACCTTCGGAGGGGGTTTTCTATGTGCTTTTGTTAATATTTTTTATATCTTGACACGTCAAGCCACACGGTTTCCCCATATAGGATGGTGGATTGTAGCAATTGCAGATACATTTTCCTTTTATAGCTACTCGGCCCGTCCATATTGGACATAATCTTTGTCATGACAACGGTTTTCTGTTCAGCTTACTGGACTACAGTTATCAGGTTTTCGAGTATCTCAAACCTGAATGAAAGTGTATGCCCAAATAGCACAGTTACTCGGCTCTATAATACTACAATTTAAATCAACACTCGGAGTACTAGAATCAACCTTTAATACTATTATATCTGTTTTGCTACTTGTCACCTTATCTTGAATTCCCCATTCTATTATCATTCCCAATTCTATCATCATGTTAGTCTCTATTAAGATTGCGTTGTCGTCTGCATTTGATATGGCGTAGGTGGCTTGACAATAGTCTATTTCTAATAAGACCCCCTTGTACAGTACATTCAATAGCGTACGTCTCAAAATGGATCCTTGCGGTAATCCTGATGATAATGACACTCCTGCTACTATACTTCAAGCTTCTTAACTACTTACATAAGTTTTTTTGTGTGCGTAATGTGTTTTTTCTGGAAAAATAATTTTTTTATTTTTTATTGAAAATTACTATTTGAACAATTGTTTCAATTAATATTACCTCAAAGAATCACGAATAACCCACAAATTAAGACAAATGTGTATAGGAAATGCTTAAGAAATAATAAAGTAACATAAAGTAACATTTCATTGCAATACTAAAATACAGAGTATTTCATTTATGAAAAATGTTCTATCAAAACTCGCCGATGAATTAGAAAGAATGAAGAACTGTATTTATAAAATATATTGAAGGTGACAATTTTTATTTGGGTGAAACTTTGAAGGTAAGACAATTCAGTTCCAAGAAAGAAAAAATATGACAACAAGATATCAGCGGTAATATGTGAGTCAGGTAATATATTATGAAATGATGGAGACGACTATTGGACGGACAATAACAGATGGTGACGATAACAGACAACTAGTTAGGAGTAAAAGATGTCGGAGAGGAAGCCAAAATCGTACAACTACCAACGGAAAAAGAAGTTTCTGTAGTTAGAGTAGAATAGTTGTCGAAATATTAAAGGCAGCAGATGAAAAGATACAAAAGAAAATACTCCAACGTATATATGAAATCTGGTAACATGAAATAATGCCAAAGTACTGGACCAAAGCACTGATCCAATACCCAAAAAAGGGAATAAGCTTTGCTGCGAAAATTACAGAGGAGCAGTTTTATTAAACACCTGTTACAGAATCGTAGCGAATATGTGACGCAACAGACTGAATAGGTATTCTAATGCGATCCTAGGAAATTCTAAACTGACTTCAGAACTAATCGGACCTTAATGGATCAAATATTTCCATTAAAGAAAATAAAAACTATGTAATATTAGTATAAACTTCCGCTTGACCATTTGACCGGAAAGAGATAGCGACCAAGAGAGGTGAATGGAAAACAATAGTAAACGGATAAGACGCAACCAGACAATAGTATTTTATAATACTTATAATAATAGTTTACCAAACAAATTGACTGGCCAGTTGGTTGTTAAAACCAGTGCCAATAAAACACACACATACAACAATATTTTACCAGGTAAAACAACAAATGTATAGAGATAATGAGGATATACTTATAATAATAGTTTACCAAACAAATTGACTGGCCAGTTGGTTGTTAAAACCAGTGCCAATAAAACACACACATACAACAATATTTTACCAGGTAAAACAACAAATGTATAGAGATAATGAGGATATACTATATTTGATAAAAATGTAATACAGTGAGTGTATATTTAATAATAAAATATCCATTGTCTTGTATAATACAATTAATTATTAACTAAATCCATAATGTAAAGCCCTTAATCTATCAAGGTCAATAGCGTGTGTACTTATCATGATGTATTGGGTCTCCAAATAATCAGAATCCCATGTTATCATTTTGTAGCAGTCGTTAGTCTAATTTGAGCGTTTTGTTTTGTTTTGATAATTAAAGTTTGCAATTTGTTGACTTATTTAGACATGCCGTCGTCGTTAAATATGTGTAAGTATTATTGCTAAATTTATCGAAAAAATAGACATTTAAATTAAAATCGACAAGTTTGTTTGAAACCAATTCTTTTATTTCATTTTAGTTTCTTGTTTAGTTTATTAAATAATATCACAATAAATGCTAGACTTATATTCTCATCTCAAATGTCTCATATTCTATAAAATTGAAAACGATTTAAAACCCTAATTTTATTTTATTTTTCCTTGACATAACCAGCTTTAATGATGATTTTTTTAAGATTATTTCATTGAGTCAGGTGTCTGTTTTAATATTCAGTATTTACAAATGCCTTTTTGGTCGTGAATACCCCATTACACGATTTCTATTTTTGTTTTGACTGCTTTAAAATCCTTTCTAGTTAAAGGAAATCATGTATTTCGTATATTATGCCAAAATATATATTTTTAAGTATTTTGAGTTTATTCTACCCAAGGTATCCAGACGATAGCAAATAATTATTTCCTGTTTATGACTTGGCCATACCCAATTTTACCATGAACATTTGTTTAAAAAATAAGAAGGCTTAGTTTGTGACTAGTTTCACCCCTTAAGGTAAAACATATGCTAGTGGAAAAGTGTGAAAAGTTCAATCGTCACAGAATTAAATACTATTTACCAAACAACCTAATTAGGTTATTATTTGTAAATAAAAAAGTGTTTATTCTAAACCGAATACTAGTCTTAAAACTATTAATTATATTTGTATATTTTCTCTACATTTTTAAGGTTTATTTTACCACCGTATATTGGTTTCTTGAAAGAAGTTTCTAATATAATACATTATAGAGATATCACATCACTTCACTGATCTAAATCGAAACTTGCTAAATCTTATATTTTCCTAAAAAAAATTGTTTTAAAAACTTTTTCGTTAATTTAATATAGTTATTTACCATTTCTACCCAATTAATGTTAAATCTTTTTAGTGGAAAAAGACGGTCATTACTTTATAAAAATACTCGAAGATCAAAATAAAAGACTTTTGGAATTAGCCGCCAGGGTTGAAGATGATATATCAACTCCTGATTTATCGGAAGAAGTTATAGGAAAACTTAGATCTGCTTCAGGAAAAGCAAGATTGTTAGTATCACAGAAAATGCAACAGTTTAAAGGATTATGCACCAACAATATTAATCAGGTAATTTATATTTTATTATCATTTTATTTTTATCTCAATAGATCCAATATTTTGCACTTTTGGTATAATAAGTTTATTTTATGGTTATTTCTCACATTTTTGACTCTTTAAATCATTACTTAGGGTTAAAGTATTCGTAATTAGGGTCAAAGTTTTTTAGTAGACCAGTATTTATGATCATACAAAGTATAAATTTCACTAAAATTGTAAAATATTTAGTAGAATGACATAGTAAAAGTGTTTTTAAACGAAAAAATATGACCAAAATGAATGCTTTAACCGACTTAATAGAGGAAAGGCACCAAATTTGAAAGACTTTTTTTGAAAAACAAATATACAACAGAACATTCAAAACTTTTTAAAATATTTATTTCGAAAACTTAAATTTAATGTTTCTAGAACACAACAAAAAAAAATAAAGCGAATAAAACATATATTTTTGCAAAAAAATACATTTATTTTTTTGCGACATTTAATATTAAAACTAGAAGGTGCTCTAACTTGGGATAGCCAGGTATCTAAACTTGAGACAGGTACCTTAATTTGAGATACTATTCAAAAAAGCCCTTTCCTTCGAAGAAAAGGCAAATTAATGTGCTGGACTTTATTTCTCCACAGTCTTCATGTGCCCACCTGCCACATTGGTAAGACTTTGCCCATCGTTCGCCATATCTATCGTCAGAAAATTTGCCGGTGCAAAATAAACATTCAGCGTCGTTTTCTCCACTTTCGTTGGACGATGAATTAGCTAATGGAAAGTCTTCACTGCTATCTGAGCTTGAACTCGAAGAAACTTTCCGCTTCCTTCTTGATGATTTGATTTTTGATGTAAAAGGTTGATCTACTTCTTCATCTGCTATTTCTTCTTCGGGCGATGCTGTTTTTTTATATAACACCTTTTGTTGAACTGTTTTTTTCTGGAGCAAATTCACAATCCAAGTTTAGCTGGGGTACTAGTTTTTTTGCTTTTTTCTTCTGCAAACTTTGCTTTAATTCTTCTTTGTAGGGTGTTACAGTAATTAATGAAGCCTTTCCTGATCTGGTATGTGGTGTTTTAATGGTATCTCTCCTGTAAAATGTAGTGATTGGACAGATGTCTTTCGGAGAAACAAGTTGTTGATGAGGTAGTGGTGGACTAGGAGTTCTATGTTCCCGCATTGGATGATTTGGTTATTCATCGTTTGGTTCTATTATTTGTTCGTCCCTTTCGTTTTGTGTTTCTAAGTGCTCTTGAATTCCAAATTCAAAGTCCCTAAAAATATTTCGACAAATAGGGACCAGTCCAGTTTTTCGGAAACCATTGCAAGATATTTCCATTTTCGCAGCTTTATTATACGCTTTACAAAAAATACTGGCAACGGCATTCAACTGATTTTCTCTAAGCCAGATTTCTTTTGCGTAGTAAGTTTTCAGCTGTGCCATAAAAGCAACATTCAACGGTTGCATTTTATGTGTAGAATGTCATCATCATCAATCAGCCAATCGCGTCCACTGCTGGACATAGGCCTCCCTCAGTTCTTTCCAGTGTTCTCTACACTGGGCCGCTTGTAGCCAGTTTCCCGCTACACATTTAATGTCATCGGTCCATCTAGTCGGTGGTCGTCCTCGGCTTCTTTTATAATTTCTGGGCCTCCATTCCTAGGCCACGTTCCAAGGCTCGTTGTGTAACTCTAAGTTTATTCGCAGATTTTTGCGTGAGTGTTAAAGTCTCTCAGCAAATGCTGCCCATGTTATACCTATTCGCCTCTGTATTTCATGTGTTTGATTGTCTCTGCTTATTTTGATTTCGTGTTCCAGATATTTGTAAGTGTCTGTTTGTTGTATGGTATTATTGTCAATAGTTATATTTCCACTCATTACGGGATTTGTTATAAGTTTAGTTTGCTCAAAGTTTATCTTTTAATCCTGCTCTTTCAGACAGACTTTTAAGCGAATGTATCATAGAAACTGTATCATGTAAGTTATCTGCGATTAATACAACATCATCTGCAAACCTTAGGTGATTTAACCTTTCTCCGTCTATATTGATGCCCATATCTTGCCATTGAGTACTCTTCTTAAATATTGACTTTAGAACTGCCGTGAACAATTTTGGTGAAATATTGTCTCCTTGTATAACTCCTCGACCTAAGCTGATTTTTTCTGTGTCTTTGTGCAGTCATATACTTGATGTAGATGTTTTTGATTAGTGTAGATTAGTGTTTGTGTGATGTGTAGAATGTGGTGGGAGGCAAATAATCGTCACATGATTCTGTTTGGTCAAATCGATTAGAGCAACGTTTCTCGTATGAGAATACTGACCATTAATGACGAGAAGAACAGGGTCTGCAGCTGAAGGTTTAGTGAATTTTTTGAAGTGTTGAAGCCATCTAGTGAAAATATTGGCCTGTACCCAACCTAACACATGGCATTCTGCGACTGCTCCAGTGGGAGCTCCTAGCATTAACTCTGTTTTTATATTTTTTTTTAGGGAAGATTAATAAGTGGTGGAGTAATAAACTCCTGTAGCATTCATACATGTAATAGCAGAAATCAGTTTGTCCCTTTCTAATGAAGTACGTGACGAAACCTGCTTCTTCCCTCTCATGGAAATTACTTTGCTATGTTTGTGATGAACAATTGTAAGGCCCGTTTCATCTACATTGAATATACGTTGTGCAGGATTAGTAAGATTACGATATTCTGGTGCATACATGGCAAAGAACTTGGATATATTTTCAGAAGTAAAAGATTTTACTCAATTACATGACATTTCCTGAGGAGTACGCATTAAGAGCATCGGATGCCATTTCAAAAAGAATCTCATTTCTTTCCTGCTGATTTTTTGACTCCGCTAAATGGATGTGGTATTAAGTTTCGTATTGCAAGTTGAAATCCTAGTCGTTTTATATCACGCGCTCTTAGCCCAAAATAACGTTGGTCCGTAGGTAGTTCATACTCAACCAACTCATTTTCTAATTCCAAAGGAAGAATAGGTCGGCGGCCAATTGATATCCCGACGAGTTCTTCTGGAGTCTTGTCTGATTTCACATATCGTTCTAAGGTACCTGTTGGTACTCAAAAAACTTTTGCCTTCAAATAGCTCATCTCTCTATTTCATACTGTATTTACAGCCCGTATTATATCATTTGCGTTCCATTTTTTATTTTTTGGCGGCATCTACAAGCAAAAAACACAAAAATAAAAATTTTACACGAGGTCCTAATTTGAGACACTCTCAAATTTGAAACCTACAGGTATCTCAAATAGGATTTTTTTTTTTGATAAAAATAAAACGCATTTTTATTGTTTATGTATGCCACACAATTACCGTTTAATTATTAAACATTAAACTAAAAAAAAAAATTGGAGTAAATGTAATCATCTTACCTTGATGTATTGTAAGTTTTTATAAAATCCCAAAAAAATTGTGTAAAGTGTAAATCAAATTAACGTCGATAAAATAACAATGGTCAGTTTTAAGCATCAACTAAAAGCAGATCTACCGCTACTGCACAGAATGATCAGTTTTCAATATTTTCATTAGATGTCACCCTATCGTACACAAAAATATACGTCAGTGTCTGAAATTAAGCGCCTGTCTCTAATTCGGTTCCTTTCCTTTATATCATTATCATCATCAATCTCAGCGTATTCTACCGGTTATTATTGTGTAGCATCCCTTACATATTAATTCTTCATATCTGATCACGATTATCTAAAATTGGGCCATTTTCACGACCAACCTGATAATATTTCATGTAATTTTTGTTGTATATTACGATAACCCACAAATTAAAGCAGTTAGGTATAGGGATCTTAAGAAATAATAAAGCATCATAAAATAACATTCAATTAAAGAAAATTCATTCCGAGTTTCGACCCACCTTGTATAAAAAAATTAAACATTTCGCTATGATAATAATTAAGTAGGCAAAAGCAAACTGTATTAAAAATTGTTTGAACACAAATATATTTTTTAATATTAAATCGATACAATTCTACAGTTTGTTACAAAAAATCATAATTATCTTTTAAATTAACTCGTATAATACTCCCAAACTTATATTGAAAAAACGAGAATATCAAGAAGAGTCCAGAAATGTAAAAATGTACAGGGTGTTGCATTAAAAAAAATAAGTTGGTAAGTAACAATTGATAAATGAGATGTAACAATAAAACACTGAAAACTTTGTTGTCAAACTTCCACAAAATTTATTTTAAATCTTATCACTACAGCTGTTTCAGCTGATTGCCTTTCTCAAGTGAGAAAACTTTCTCACTTTCTCAAGTGAGAAAACTTTCTCACCTGAGAAAGGCAATCAGCCGAAACAGCTGTAGTGATAAGATTTAAAATGAATTTTGTGGAAGTTTGAAAACTAAGTTTTCAGTGTTTTATTGTTACATAAAATGAATTTCCATCAAGTAACGGTCGAATCCATCAATTATTGATAAATGAGACTAATTGTATCGCAAATTCTTCGACAGAATGTAGTAGGATCTAGTAACCCACATTAAAATAGGAAGTTATTAAAAGGAAAATACCAGTATTAATATGTCAGTAACATATAGAGGATACATCATTTATGTTTTTTAAATAGCAAACATATAAAACCAGAATTTGGTGTTTATTGAAAGTAAACTAAATGCACGACCAAATACTTACCATGTCGGGATAGTATTATGAGGTTTTTTTCCTGGTTTTTCCCTCATAATTTACTATGGAATCACTAACAGGAGATTTTTACTGTCATCATGGCATGTATTTTTCTTTTAAAGACAAATTACATGCTATGATTTGTTCCTAACGGATATTCTCAAGTTAAAGTTGATTTCATGTAATCGAATGAACTATCTTAATAAGTAAAGTCGTCTACTTTAAAATGTATAATGTATGTCTGAATTGTCAATATGAATGAGTCAGATAAAATTAAATTATTAGAAGAATTTTTCACCAAGTAACAAAAAAAAATAAAATTTGTGTAACCCGTAACTGGTGAGGTCCATATTTTGTTACGTGT